TCCAATTACTTTTATTCGGGCGAAATGAGTGCAGCTAAGTCATTAATACTAATCAATGGACCGGACCGACGGAGGATGGCGAATGGGGAGGTGGTAGTGTACTACTCTGCTGTTGCTGCCGTTTCTGCTGCTGCTGGTGCCGCCACTGCTGCTGCTGCCGCTGTTGTCGGTGATTCCCCCTGGTTGGGGTTGTACCCGTTGTTTGCGCGAGCACGCCCGCGCGCAAGCACCTACTAGCTTCCCAGGAATTACCCATAACTCAAACGGTCGAAATGACTTTATTGCAAAAAACTTGCGCTTTGCCTCGCGCGCTTTGGCCTCGGCTCGGCTCGGCTCGCGTCCTATACGCATTGTTAAAGGGCCGCCGCTCGCCCATCGATAAGTAATGTTTATTGTTGCATTTCCAACGACCGACCACCGCCAACCATTCTAACCTACCACCCCTCCCCCTTCTCATCCCTCGTCTCTCGCTTCTTTTACTTTTTTACTCACACCATTGCGACTCTTCTACTCTCTCTCTCCCCCATGTATCGTTTTTTAACGTCCTTCCGCCATACGCGTAGAAGATATACGTACGTACCCCAGCCCCTTTTTCTTTCTCTTCTTCCTCCTCTTCATCCTCTTCGCCCTTTTCCTCATCTAGCATAAACTCTTCTTTTGCTTCATTTGCTTTCCACGAGTGGATAGACAACGGGGGGAAGGTGGGGGAGGAACTTCTCGCGTATCTCGCGTCTTTTTCATGCATTAGCAATGTCACACTTTTTTCCTTTGTGACGATATTTTATCGAACGATTATTTACCAAAATTCGAAGCATCGTAATATGTTCTTCCTATCTAATCTAATGCGATGATTTTGAATTACCTTCGATGAATTTCTCTTTGTCTAGTTAAAATCAAATAATTCCCGACGATTCGGTGCTTCTTTTTATTTATAATATCGTTTATCTTTTCCCCATTTGATTTCATAAAATAATCACGATCGCGTCTTCTCGCGAAATCGAAGTGAACTTCCTTTACCGATATTATTATTTGACACAATTTTCAGTAAATTTATTTATCTTAAATAGATAATTATACGTAAAACGTAATGAATACTTTATACTTTTTATTAGATTTATATATCCTCATATATTTTAAATAATAAAATGAATATATATTGTGTTGACGTATTGCGATATGATAAAAAAAAAAAAGAAACAAAAAATCGATAGTCATCCGTTACCATCACATTTAAGTGATATTTATCCCAAATTGTATTAAAGAATATCAGAGAAAGAGATAGGCAGAACGAGGAGATGCCGGCAAACGGCAGAGTTTATTAATTTATGCGAAATGCCAAAAGCCCGTAAACATACGTTTCTACGGTTTTATAGATACATTCCCCTCTCTCTCTCTCTCTATCTATCTTTCCCTTTTACTTCCTCTCTTTTTTATATATACATACATACATATATCGTTTGCGCACTTTTACAAGCAAAATGGTCGGGGTACCCGCGCATTCCACTAATCCCCCTCGACTCGTCCATTTAATATGGGGGGAATAGAAGGGGGTTTGTGATGGTCCAGGCAGCCATCCCACATTGCTTTCTATAGTCATTTACGAATTTGGCTGAAAAAAAAAAAAAAAAAAAATTGAACTACCACATAGGTGCGCGAACGCACTACCATTCCTCCTATTTTCGTTCGTTACCTATCGAACCGGGGCTTTATCTATTTTTTATGTAATGAAATGCCTTGTACAGGTAGCATTGGTTTTTAGGTAGGGGTAGGTATTTTACAGGGGTAGTTGAACGATTTATATACAAACCGCGCGCAACCTACGTTACCGTCACTTTGACGAACATTTTAAATCATACATTATTATTTATTTCATTCTTGTTATTATATTTCGTCGAAACTCTTTTAACCGCTTTGTGTATAATATTATAAACAATTGTTTTATACATAAAATTGAATTGACGTCAAAATTTCGTATATTTACTCGATATTTTAGTACTTTGATGAATGTTTAAAAGATGATAATTAAGGATAACAGACTATCCCGTTATCTTGTTAAAGGATACACGGAAAGAGAGTTTCACCGCAAAATCCGATATCTGTTAGTCTCGCGTTGTCTCTCTTTCTCTCTTCTTGTATATCCTCCCGGCGAGTCTTGCGGGTACGTCACGGAAAGCGGGTGAAAGCTTTTCTCAGATTTATTCATGGGGGCCAAGTCACCTGGGGGACACTTTTTCCCGAATTACCCCGGGTGTCGAAGCTCTAAAACGCTTAATCTGTATCCAACTATGGCGATACACGTTCCGGCATATTTCCATGCCATTATGCAAAGAGGCCGCACCGGTAACATTACTCCGTACAACACCAGCATCGTGCGACGCTAGTGAAACCCCCTCTTTCCTTCTCTCTTACTCTATTCCTTCTCTTTCTTCTATGCGCGTATAGGTATCTATATACATCCCTATCTTTCTCTATGCACTCACGTGTGGTAGTAAAGTATCGTGGCTTGTACGTACTCTCCATCGATTTATTATAATTTAGATTGTCTTCTAAGAACCCGTCTATACATACCTTCCTATATATATATATATATATATATATATACCTTAATTTGTATACGTGTGTACAAGTACGTTCTTACGTACTACGTACGTACGTTTATATAGATACATACATACACAGGACACACATACGTGACAGCGTATATCCACTTTAATGCGCCGGGCGTCCGTTAATTATTCCTCGGGTATCCCCGTAAATATGCATGAATTATATATCGCGTTGCACGAAAGCCGAAGAAGGAGAGATAGGGACAGGTCATTAATATATTTTTTTTTTCCTTCTTCTTCTTCTTCTTTCTTTCTTTCTTTCCCCCTTCTCTGCTTTCTCTCTCTCTCTCTCTCTCTCTCTCCCTCTCTCACCCCATCTTTCTTTTTCTTTCCCTGGGAACGATCGCCACGTAGGACACCTAATATACACGGCGAATCATTTCCTTTGCTTGCCTCGTCATAATTTTACGTAATACCTAGTTCTTCTTCTCCTTCTCCTCCTCCACCTCTTCTTCTTCTTCCTCCTTCGTCGTTGTCGTCGATCAAGCAACATGTCCTCGGTTAAATGGACCTCGCCAATTCGAACCGCAAAAGGCTATCGAGCGAAATTTACGATCGGCTTTGCGAATCACGAGATTGTCGAGAAAATGACATCGATTTGTGTCACTGATACCTTGGCTCATTACCCCCCTGGCTACACGATTTCTAACTTTGTCCCGATAGGGACCGATTAAAACGACGATAAGATACACGCTTTGCGAATCAATTCAAATTACCAAAAACTATTATACCTATTTTGGGTAGGACCAATTTTGTTCGAACTAATTTTCTAGTCTCTTATTGTCTATCTCATTTGTTATATAGTTGTTCGAATCTTCCTTTCTCTCTCTCTCTCTCTCTCTCTTTCTCTCACTCACATTTGGAGTAACGATCGTTGATAATAATGAAAAAAATAAAAAAAAAAAAAGGGAATAAAGAACGACATAGCCCGAATAAATTTTTAACGACGATCGCACCTTTCACTGATAATTTTGGTACTCTGCCTTCCTCTCAACATCTCTCTCTTTCTCTCTCTCTTTTTTTTCTATTTCTATCTCACTGTTGCTCGCACACTCTCCCGAACACATTTACAATGATCGAATTTATTCTTTTTTTCTTTTTTTTTTTTCCCCCCTATTTCGGATGTCTACCATTATTTCGAAGCGAAGCATTTATACCTATATGTGATAGCTAGACCGTGAATGATTATTAATCAATTTTCAGCGTTAAACGTGCCGCCGCAATAAAAAGCGTGGTACGTTAACGAACCACGCGCGTATAATTGAGCATTTTGGCGAGAATGATTGCAAGCTTGTGCTAAAACCTTTGCGTGCTCGTTCGATTGATTTTGGATAGAAAGAGGAAGAGGGAAATAGAAAGTGTGCGTGAGAAAGAGAGAAAGAATGCGACAGAGAGGGTGAACAAAATGTCCCATGTCACTATTTTTTAATGGATAGAAACGGTGAGACACATCATGATCACCGATACAAAAGTTATCAACGAGAGACTAGATAATTCAGTATACCATCGAACTGGACGTTCTATTGTCTTCGATAAATTATGTAATAATTTCTTAATTCTCTATTTGATATATTATGTACACGTAGAATGAAAGGTTCTAACGGGTTAGTTAGTTGTACGTGTGTATGAGATATCAATTGATCAATGATGATTAAGCATATTTAACAATATTTTACACGTAGGCATATACTTTTACTAAATTTAAATAATGTAAGCCTTTTTTTTTTCTCTCTCAATATCGATCCCTCTTTATTTTCTCTATAGGATATATTATGCGTCCATAGTATTTGTGTATGTGCGTGTGTGATGTGTATTAGCGATAAAAGGACAAAGGACGTTCTTAGTTTGACGACCGTGACGACATCCGACCTGATCAGTTATAAGACAAATGAACGGTCCAGAATGGTTTTTCTATTGTCGAGCGAACATTGACTGAGAGTATGAAATATACAAGTCGAACGTTCTCAAAATATGCTCGATAGTGGGGAAAATCGATAATGTGTTCATTGAAAGAAAAATAAAAGAAGACGCGAATGTAGAAAAGACGATAACGAAGAAGCAGTTGTTCTATGTAAGACGCGAAAGAAGAAAGACGTATTTTTAAACGAAGCACGATTGCGCATTAATATTATATATTGAAAAGACATTCCTCGATTTTAGAATAAATCATTTGCAAATGTCAGAAATAAATGGTATAAATTGTTCACAGAATATATTTCGAATTGTTGTCGTCACAATTTTTGTTAAATCAACGACGTGGAATAAATTGATTATATATATATATATATATATATATTTTTTTTTATATTTTTTTAAATGAATTCGATTTCCAAAATGTATATTCGCTGATGAAATCGTTTCTTTAATGGAATCAAAATTGGTTTCTTGTTTCAGGATAGCGACAGGAGTAGCGCTGGAAGTCCAGAACCAGCAACAGGCGCGATGCACGAACACCAAATGATGTTGGAAGATATCAAAAATTCACGAAAAAGACGACGGACTCCGTCTCCTGAGAATTTGCATCAAGCTAAACGCGCGGCTGTACCGCAAGCACACATTAATGGAACCAGTAAGAATCGACTTTAATCGACGACTTATATCTATCGAGATTGTTCATTTAATGTTAATATTTTCGTTTGTATTACAGTGGCTGCGATGGTTACTCTTCAAAATTTACAAAATTTAGAAAATCTACAAAATTTGGAGAGTCCCGAATCGGCGACAGGATCGTTGCACGAGCATCAAATGATGATGGACGATGTAAAAAATTCTCGGAAGAGACTGCGAAGCCCGTCGCCGGAAAATCTTCATCAGGCGAAACGAGCGGCGGTGGCGCAAGCTCATCTCAATGGAACTAGTAAGCATTTCAAATTTATTTATTTATTTATACGATATATATTTTTATGAAAAAAAATATTCGGATGATCTGGTGTTAAACAAGAAAAAAAAAGAAACAAAAAAAATAATTTGAATTACAGTGGCCGGTATGGTGACATTACAAAACCTTCAAAATCTAGCTAATCTTCAGAATCTTCCGCAAGTTGCATCATTGGCTGCCGGTCTTCAAGGAATGACAGCAGGATTAAGCAACAATCAGCTGATCAATACTCCTTTGAATCTCACCGTTAGCTCATCCGGTAGATAACAACATTAATTTTCTAATCGATCGAAATAAATAAATCGCTTATATAATATTAAATGCATCATCGTTTTATTATTTATCTTTTCGCAGGAGGTACTGCGCCAACAGCATCGAGTACAACAGCAGGACCACATCTTTTGCCACCGAGTCCAGCGCCAATGGTGACGTTACCTCAGCTATTGTCTCAACCACAACCAGTGGCAATGCCACAGTTCATCCTAATGTCCGGTCAATTGGTTCAGGGTCTTCAAGGAGCCCAACTTTTAATCCCTACTTCTCAAGGTAAGTGTTATTTGACGATAATCTAACATTGGTCCTAGGTAAATGAAATTTTCGAATCGATAAGATGCAGTGAAATGTAGGAATAGGTAATATTAATAATAATAATAATAATATTATCCGATCAATGTACGATATATATTATTATATCGACTATCTCTGGTTAATTTCAACGAAGGCTGACCAGTCGGCCATACTTAGTAGTGCTTCTAGATCGCCTCGGCAAGCATAGGGCAAACTCTGCAACTAATTTCAATGTATAATTAACGTCTCACTACCCCATTCCAACCCTAAAGATCCTTGTCCCACCCATAGCTGCTCTTTCCTCGTTCTCCTTTCCTTGGTCCCGCCCTCCGAACTATCCCTTCCCGCCCTGCTACTCTAGCTGGACATCAGCTTCGCGGATTCGGCGGCTATTATATCGATTGTGGTCCGCGCTAACTTCGTTTCTACCAAGTTAAGTTCCTATTCTGGCAATCGAGGGACACAGAGGGAGAGAGAGGGTTGAGGCTACGAAGAGTAAAGGAGAGAAAGATAGAGGTAGAAACGTAGACTGAGAAAGCAGCTTAAGTTGATTGAAGTTCCAGACCGAGACGAATTGATTAAAATAAAATAAATGATTGTATTATAGTATATAATGTTTATGTCTCTCTCTCTCTCTCTCTCTCTCTCTCTCTCTTTCTTACGTCTAAAAATACGTGTCAAATATTTATTTGTATCTTTAACAGATATTTCCTAAAGAATATATTTAAGTATTTATCTAATCGCTATTTAGAAAAGTTAGAAATAAGAGAAAAAGATGTACAACTTTTCCGACTTACTATTCGTTATCGTAAACCATAATCGGATTGTCAGTTGACATTAACTCAGAACGTGAAACTTTTATGGCTGTTCGGAATACAGGATTTGCTTAGCTCGGCTATAGGTACCAACACGGGTACGTACTCATGATCAGTAATCATATTAAGCGCGTGTACAGGGTAATCAGATTAGCGGAGCTGGAGGTAATCCCGAAACTATTCTAAGTATGATTAGGCGTCCTTCTCGCAGCCCAGTCCAGGGCCAGTACCTGTACCCACTATTAAGATGACGATAATAGTTTGCCAACTACGCTAGCCTGGGAGGTTACCTGCCCTATGGGTTGCCTAATAATCCCTCTATGAGACTCTGATAACTTTACTATCCATCCTGGATCAACGACGCGTGGATTAGCTACATAATGGAAACGAAGTGTTTATCGAATTGAAGAATGTTTTTAAGATTAATTATATTTCAAGTAACATTTTAACTAAAATATTATAACGAGTTAACATATTTAAGGAAAATTCATTTCTCTATTTAGGTATAGCAACGCAAACTATATTGACCATTCCCGTAAACCACGTTACGAATAATCAAATGGTCAACTTGGCACTAAGCAATGGTCAAGTAGTTTCTACGACGTTGGCAAATCTTCAATCGATCGCCCAACCTCAAAATATGTTGAACACGCCAACGAGCAACGGTAAGAGAGCTTATCTTTCTTCTTAATAATTATAACACGCAATATCCTGACAACAAAAAAAAAACAGAAAAAAAGAAAAGAACTCTCTAAATCCTTGTAAATAAATTCGTTTGATTATAAACCTCTTGCATCGGAATAGCTAATTTTCTTACGCGAATCATGTATTCTTCCTACATTTAACCCAATTTGATAACAAGGTACAAAGTGTATTTCCTCGAGTTAGTATAAACGTTAGACTGAATGTGTGCACGTGCGCGCGCGTTTGTTTGTGCGTTAGTTCCGACAAGTCCGAGTCTGGCATCGGGATTAGGCTTGAATCCCGCAGCACTGCCTCACCTTTTGAGCAACAGTTCGGCGAGCCAGCAGCTTCTGAATGCAATGCAACCCCAGCAGCTGCTTCAGGCAGCTCAAGCGGCACAAGCTCAGGCAGCGCAAGCCGTCCAAGCTGCCCAGGCTTCTCAACAACCACTTCTCACAACGTCACCGCAACAGCACGGCCATCGACATGGCTCGCACATGAATCATTACACGGTAAGTGAAGCTAACGCTGTACCTCGTTCAATATCGTTACGTCTTAGAACATAGTAGTAAACGTGGTTTTGGAAATCGCTTTAGTAAACGAGATCATACTCTAACGCGTTCGCAAATCGTTTAATCAAAAAGTAAGATAATATTCTACATCAATAAAATAAACTACGATAAATGATTTCAATTTTCTTTCCCTTTCTCTCTCTCTCTCTCTCTCTCTCTCTTTATCTTTCTCTTTCTCTATCAATTTTCTTAAGTTTATCCGTTAGATTCTCTACTTTGTTAGATCGATCGTAATGACCTCACGAGACGAGAATTATTCTTCTCCGATCGCTTCCCGGTAATGTATACGAACTTGTATCCCTATACGATATATATACACGACCAAACCACGGAGTTTCCACGGAACGAATAGACGTTAACCATCGTAAGATCAGCACAGTACGACCTGAATAATTCCCAATAGCAAGCAATCTCGTTAAGAAAGTATTCCGTACCGACGGCGTTCCTTCCACTAATTAGACTCTAAAGTGTCCTGATCCCGAGACTCCGTCTCATTATTAAGTGCATAATTGGCGTGGAAGAGAAGAGTATTGTCGTTCTTCGGAGAGATAGGGGGAGGGATGAAGAAACTAATCCGTTCCCTTCCCTTCCCTTCCCCTCTTACTCTTTCTCTCTTTATTTCTCCCTTTCCCTCTTCTTTCTTTCTTTCTTTCTTTCTTTCTTACTTTCTTTCTTTCTTTCTTTCTTTCTCATTCTCTCTATCATCCTATCGTATCGTTCACAGCCACCAGAAAAGCATCACAGAGAAAGACCGGAACAGTCGTCGCCTTTGAACGAATCTGTAGTCTCCGCAGCCTCTGCTCTAAACAGATTGACGTCTAGCAATGGTGAGATTACCATCACGACGACGCACGGTCCTAGTGGAACTGGAGGAATAAAGGCCTCGCCAAGTACTATGCACAGTCCCAAGGAGGAAGAAGATGATCTTCTTAACGACTCTCCGAGTAAGAACGACCCGTCTTATTTTTCTTATCGAACTTTCTCAAACAACTCATCGACATTTTTATTATCAAGACTTTGTTCTTAGATCGAGAATCGTGTATTATATCGAGAAATTATATCGCACGACAAAGTTCATATTCTAACGAGTTTTTTGTTTCATATTTTTTTGTTATCGTATTCTTATCATTATTTATATTTTTCCTTTTTTTTACGAGTTTCAGTCACTTTTTCTTTAACACCATCTCACACTTATACATACCCCACATTTTCAATGAAATCGAGATTTATGATTTTCGTTTTTGTTTTCCGATCGGATTGTCCATTCATCTATTAACTGTCCGATTATTTATTAAACTTTTTCAACAATTGAAAATTTTATTAAATAGATAAGTAAAGTGAAAATAATGTGAAATAAATTTGATCGTTTCGAATAAGAAAGAAATTTCTCGGGAAAGTATAAATATTTTCATCGATGTATTTATTAATATCTTAGATAATATATTAACTGTCAGAATCTGTTTTGAGTGACATAAATCATTGGTGATAAGGTATTATATTGTTAGCAATCGGAAGACGATTGCAAGTAGTAATAACTCAGTCGATCCTCTGCACGAGAGTGTACTTAAGCTAGTCGCTGGAACTCGAGTCGAGTAGCTCGGTAATCCCATGGTAACGTACAACAGGATATCGTACAACATTCCGGCTCATTACGGGACATTAGATTGGCTACTTAGTGGCCGTCTTCTAGGAACCCATCGACGATTCCAACGACGAGGCTAACCTCGAACCTGCCGATAATAATTTTAATAATTCACAATCATAGCCGCGCTCCTCCATAGTCTGCCACTTCGTCATTTCCACTCGACTCGAATGATCATTCACCGCCTAACGATACTCAATTGCCATTATCGAATGGGGAACATCATCGAGTTCTGCTAACGCGAAGATAGATTATAACGTTGCTCCACACTTTGCGCGTAAGATTCACTCTCGGTAATTTCTTAACTACGTATATAAAGCGGATACTCAATTTCAATTTCTTGAAAATTCGGTATAGTGTAACATAGAAAAGATAAAGTTTTTATATAACAATATCCTTACGCGAAAGTAGAGATATCAAAATTTGTTTACGTAATAATACATATAATTAAATATAAAGATAATTATTTTGTAGAAACGACTTTCTATTTAATAATACTTATCGATTGTTATAAAATCGATAAGAAAAATAAAAATCCTCACATTTTACCTTATTTTTCTAACAAAAAGAAAAAAAAAATAAGTTCCGCGATCTTAGAAAAGTAGGCGTAGGAAAGTATTTAAGATCAACAACCAACCATCGTGCGGGGCAAGACGTTTGTTTATGCTTACGCACGCCTTAAAAAACATTTGGGGTGACAGATTTACGAGTGAAATCGATGTAATTCAAAGTGCTTTAACGAAGCCGCCACGGTTGATGTCATTAGGCAGCTTCTCGCCGGCTGCCAGGATACGTTCTGACGAATCGATCGAAAACGTGCACGCTCGCTCGACCGAGACTACATCGCGAGCCTAATGCGTTAGGAATGTGAGCCGTTAGAACGATCACGGAATAACTTCTGTGTATATACTGAATAAACCGATATCTCCTCGTGCCTATCCTCTCGAGTCTGCAATTAAGAGCCGAGATATGATACATCCTTCGTCATTTTTTTCTTTTCTTCTAACAAACTATGTAGTACAACTCCGAGTTACTATTTTCTAATTTCCTTTTATTTCACTTTGTTTTTTTTATTTCTCTACTCTTAATTCTTTTTATTTTTAATTAAGACGTTTTAATGTTACGTGTGTACTACATTCAATTATCGATTTCTTTTACCGATTCATAATTATCCATATTTCTATCACTTATTATTCATTATTTATTATGATAAAGTGAACGACGAGTCCTTACTTTTGAGGATATTTTAATGATTCGAATGAAATTTGTCTCGATTATCGTAGTACATTTTTCTTTTTGCAGATCAACCGACAATCAACGAAGCCACGAACAACGTCGTAGATGGTATCAACCTTGACGAGATCAAGGAGTTTGCGAAAGTTTTTAAGCTTCGTAGACTTTCCTTGGGCCTAACGCAGACCCAAGTTGGTCAAGCCCTTAGCGTTACCGAAGGTCCTGCTTATAGTCAGAGTGCCATATGCCGGTAGGCTCTTTTATTTGATATTTTTTCCATATAGCATTTAAAAGGAATAAGATACTATTATAAAAGACAAGGAAGAGAAACTAACGTCAATGAACAGAGTAGTCACAACAAATGAAATAATTATATACGACGAATAGTGTGCCAGGTCACTGGAAATGGCGTTAAAAGGGTCGACACTTTTCCATGTATACATACATACCGTTCGATATAAAAAAAAAAGAAAAAAGAAAATGAGAGATACGTTCTGTAGAATTTTTTCAATACGGTCATTTTTCAGGATAATATTAAATTCTTAAAGTTTGGAAAATAAAAAAGAATAAAAAAAAATATATAAATGTATATATATATATATATATGAGATTTCACGCATCTCATCCTCGCGTTCCTCACGAAATCGAATCCGATTTATGTACACGCAATTAACGCACAAACAGTGTAGTAACCTATCACGAATGATTTCAATGTCATTCGTGCAAGAGTTATTTGATTCACAACTCGAATGACTACGTTGGTTCCTTGAATCGAAGATGTATTTATATGATATAATATTTTTCTGGATTTTTTGTTCGCTTGAAATTAGATACAATTATAAATGAAGAGAAAACAAATCTTCGAATAGGAAGGACCGATGGAACGAGGAGGAACCAACGTGGTCGAGTGTGCCATTTTAGCAAAGCGTGTTAGATAAAATATTAGAAAAAAAAAGAAATTAATTAAAAAATAAATAAAATATATATTAAAAGATCAATACACAAAACGTATTTAGAGTCTCTTTAATCGTATCGACTAATTTAAGCATTGGTGATTGTTCCCCAGTGCCCTGGCTACCCAGATGTACGCTGCCTCGCAGATTGTGTCACAGCAGCAAGCTACGTACGTTCACCCCTCATATGCTACCTAATTCACCTAAAAATTAAAAATTAAAAAAAGAAAAAAAAAAAAAAAACTCTAAAAATCAACGCGGTTATACCCAAGCGTGCAGATAGGTGGTTCGTTCACGGGCCAAAGATAATAATCGTTCAGCTTTGTAGGAATAATTCAAAATATATAAAAAAGAAAATGGATCGACGAGCGAATAACTCGATGTCATTTTATTTTGGAACAAAAATCAATGTTTTCTTAATACGTCGCAAAAAGAAAGAAAGAAAAAAAACGTAATAAAATGAAATGATGCAACGACGAACTGATTTTTAATATTCACACCGTACGCGAATCCGATCGGGCATATTTGGGTATAGCTGCAAAACACTCTTACTAATTTCTAATTCCGCATCCGGAAAAGAGAAATTTGCGATAAGGAGCACTTTTTGAGATTAACGAATAGTTTCTCTCCGAGCCAGGGCATTGGCAAACTTGGGCATGATGTCGCCAACGCAACGAACGTATCGACGATACTCTCGAACTGTCGCTGTTTTTTCGTTGTTTAACCAAAAAAAAAAAAAAAAGAAAAAAAAAGGAAAAAGGAGAAAAATTAATACCATCCATCTATTTTCTTTTTCACTATTTATCCATCTATCTATCTATCTATCTATCTATTTATCTTTCTTTTAATTATCTTTGTCCTTTCGATCCTCAAATTCGATCTTCTTCTTTGGCGACGAACTGCGTTGGCAACATCATACACGGCATCACCAAATCTTCAAAAGCATGCAACGCGAATTGTCAATGTCCTGTTATTCAATCGATGCATGCCCTTTTTCTTAGTGCTCCTTCGTCGAACACACATTTCGGTGTGGACGATAGATCGTGTGTTAATTGGATTCTATTCGAAAACAAACACTCTTACTTTATGCTATCTAAACGAAAAATACTAACCAAGAAAAAAAAAAGAAAAGGAAAACAAAATGAAACGAAAAGAAAAATGTTCTCCTGAGGGGGAAGACAAATTTCAATTAAATTGTTCCCTCTCGTGGACATTTCTTTTTTTTGGTTTCTTTTTTGTTTTTCTTCTTTTTTTTCTCTCTCTCTCAAATCTATCGTTCTACTAAGGATGATTTTCTTAATACTATCAGACAATGATAATCCGTTATTCCTGTTCGATCTAGATTCGAAAAGCTGGACATCACGCCTAAAAGTGCGCAAAAAATCAAGCCAGTTCTGGAAAGGTGGATGAAGGAAGCCGAGGAAAGGTGAGACACATATCTCTCATTCACTCTTTCTAAGATTTAACCGTAAAGGATAAAAGTAGTAGATCTTCCTCCTTCTTCCTCGTACTTTCAATTACGTTTCGAAAGATCGTTACGGGATAAGCATCTATCGAGTAGGTAACCTGAATGAGAAAGTAATTAAAAAACCTGTCCAACGTAAATCGTTAGACAACGCGATCGGAGTAGAAAGGAAAAAAATTAAAAAGAAAAAAAAAAAAGAAAACTTACATAAATCTCGTCTTCCCCTAACTGGACCGGTCCCATACGCATACAGATACCTACGAATACATAGTCAAACGCATATACGTACGTATATTCACTTATCATAAAACAAGAAAAGAAGAAACATTTCGAGTATGGACGATCTTAAGGTGCATTCTCTGATGCAATTTAAACGCAATGAGAAATGCGTATTACCCGACACATTTCTACTTTACAATTAAATACTTGAAATAAACGGGTTACTTAACATGACGATAGACAACATGTCGATAAACGTGAGATTAGAAACCTGATCATATAAGCAAAACAAAAACGATTGATAATATCGTTTGCGTGACATCAAAACGTTTTCTCAAAAAAACTAGCTAGTTCCTTTTCAATAGAAAAGATAAGATACCATCCGATAGTTACTTTTTATTCGAAATATATTAGATTCTAACTCGAAAAATATAATATAAACGGAAGATAATTCAACTTTCTCGAATGTTAAAGTCGGAATCCTTTGAAACAGTTCTAAATGCTATACAAATAATTACTACGAAGTGGTATCCTATCGCTTTAGCCTCGATACACGATTATTCCGCAATCGTCCAACAGGATCTCTCAGTTCTCTCTCTCTCTCTCTCTCTCTCTCTCTCGCCAAACACAAACACACACGCAAACACATACTTATATGTATACACACACATATTCTCCCTCCAAGCGAAGACCGGGCCGCGTCCCGGGCGAGCGTGTGAACGCGTGCGTGCTAATTGGTAATTCGCTAATTGAATCCAGCTGATTAATTGCCGATCCGCGTCTAATAAATACGCGGAATGTTAATTAGAATACTGCAGACGGTGGTGAGGACGTTGGAGAAGAGGAAAGGAGGGTGGGCGCACGGGGGGGGTGGTAGGGAGGAAGGGAGGTAGGTTGGAGAAGGCGAACAGAGAACCGTTAACCTGGCTAAGTTCCGATGGCACACGCGAGTCTTCGAGTCCGCGGGTGAGATCGCGATCTTACGGTCAAACTTATGTTAGACGATATCTTCGAGTATTTCTTCTTCCAACGTAATTATTTTCTCGAAGATAATTATTCATTTTGTAATAGGTAATCAAAATCCTTTCGAATGTTTCGATATTCAATTCGTAGAACTCGTTAGAATATAATTTTTCATTATATTTATTAGGTATCAAAATAGTTGACCGCAATGAGTACTAATGTTTTCTATTATAACGCAATGTATCTTATCTCGATACAAAAATTGGGATCATTGTAGAAATCTAATAGATATAAGTTGATGATTAATTAATAAAAATCCTTTCGAATGTTTCGATATTCAATTCGGAGAACGCGTTAGAATATAATTTTTCATTATATTTATTAGGTATGAAAATTATTGATCGCAATGAGTACAAATGTATTCTATTATAACGCGATGTATCCTAGCTGGATACAAAAATTAGGATCGTTATAGAAATCTAGAAGATCTTGTTGGTAATCCGAGGAAAAAGCAATGAACAGTTGTTGTTCCGTGAGAAAGGTTGATAAAAACAATCGAGCAAGTACTTCTTCCAAAGATCCACTCAATTATTATAGCTGTATCTCTGAAGTTAGAATGAAAGAGACAGAAGAGTGTCTGGTTGGTAGAGATGGAAGGAAGTTTCATCTCTATGCTTTGGTCATTTTTCTTCTCATGACAGAAAACAGCAACAATGACCCATCTCGCATTCTCCCAACGTAGAAACTAAGCGCGAGCGACGGCCGCCGTTGCCGTTGCCGCCGCCATCGCCATCGCAGTCCGGGAAAAATGAAAGCGGCTAGTTTATGCGGTGCACGTGCACGATTTATCTGCCGAGTAATTAAACTGTGGACTAATTAAAATCAGGTTTCTGATGTACCTCTCCTCCTGCAGCAAACCTCCCTTCCACTCTCTCTCTCTCTCGTTCTTTCTTTTACGCACACAGACATATACACCAACAAGAATCTACTGTCCTTCTTCTTCGTCTTTTTCTTCTTCTTCTTCTTCTTCTTCTTCTTCTCTACCTTTTTTCTGTTCCTTTCTCTTACTTACTTACTCACTTTCTCTCGTTCTTTCTTTCTTTCTTTCTTTCTTTCTTTCTCTATTTCTCTCGTTGTTTCTCACTTACACCCACGCAAAAGTAAAGCCACCAAGGAAACTCCGGCACGTTCTTAACCGATTCAGCCCGCAAACCTCCCGGAATATCCTTCTTCGTCTTCCTTGGCAGCACTCCCTCCTCCCCTCTCTACCCCGACAACTCTCCTACCCCAATTGGAATCGTTCCGACTTTGGGCAAAGAACAGACGCGTTCTCCATTAGCATATTGTTTTCGCGAATTCGACGAAATATCACCGGGCGATGCTAATGGCCTCTAACCCCGTTTCGAACGAGTTGGCGGGGCAGGGGCGGGTGTTGGGGGGGACAAGGACGAGGACAAGGCCGACAAAGACACGACGTCTAAGGATTACGACACGAACGGAGTGCACTTTTTCTCTTCCGGTCCACGACCTGGTGGTACCTGGTCATTCGGAGTTTAAATTAAAAACATAAATTTTTGTCGTTTTGTTCTACAAAGAGAGAGAGAGACAGACAGAGAGAGAAAGACAGAAAAAGGAAGAGAGAATTTCGTGCCAACTCTTGCACGTGACGATTTTGTTGCCTGTACTATTATTTTCTTCTTTCTCGTTTAAACGTACGGAGAGAGAGAGAGAAAGAGAGAGAAATCGCGATAGAATCTTTTATTTTTTACCTTATAATGTTTTCCTATAATCAACATATTTCATAATCACCGGGGTGGGGGGGGGGGACACGTGTAATCGGTGTCGAAGAATATTGAAGATAAATACGAGTTATTGTTTCTCACAAAGGATTCCGAGACGTTTCGTAAAGTTGTTTTTTTTTTTTCACAATTAACTTCTATCTCGTCGTATATTCGTCACTGTTTCCATCCAAATCGCGTGACATTTTTAATAATTCGTAATACCGTTTAACTATAAATGGTTATCCCTGTTTACGACTGTTTTCCCGTATTTCCATTCACCCGTTCATTCGCGATCGCTAACTTTATTTATCTCGCTCAGCGGGGTGGGGGGCGGCAGTTGTTACTGAGAGTCGTCTCTCGTTGACTGGTCGAAAAAGTTTTTCTACGGTTTTGTGTCCTGTTTTCGAAAGGATCGAGAAAAAAGAACACCAACGGAAACAACAAACGGGTGGAACAAAAAAAAAGAAATAAAACGAGTTAAGCAAAGACGAGGGATGAAGGATGTTTTAACGATCTAAAACAAATGCTTTTCACGCGAATTAACTTTCAAATATACGCAGAGGCACATATATCCTCGATTTTAAAGTTTACAATTTTTTACGTAAATCTATTATATGCAAGCTTTATTTATAGGATTTCTCGATAAAGTCGATTATTTAAAGTATCATCCTACATTTTCTTCGGACATTAACGATCTGTATGATTTATATTTATTTATCTTATACATGATTGTTACGATGTAATAATTCAATATCATTTAAATCAATATCATCTGTGTAAAACATTATTTTGAACGTCTTTTAGAATTTTGTCTTTTTTCGTTCTCCGTCCTCAATACCATTTATTCAGATCATCTATTAAATGGTGCTTCCCGTTAATAAATACATAAATAAATAAATAAATAATCGATTTCATCGAAAAATATCTTATATATATATTTTATTATAAAATTGATAATCTGCAGAAAATCTTTCGAACGTTTTTGAAATTTTGGAATATTCATTATATCGAATGATACGAAACTAAAATTGAAAATTGTTGTGAAATGAATAATAATGATTATAAAAAATGAGTAAAATATTCTATATATATATTATATTAAATTCGTTCGGACGATTTATCGCGTTAGATACGAAAGGAGAAGACGATTTTACAGAATTTGAGCGAGAGCAGTGCGCGTGATTGCAGGTACAAGAGCGGAGTGAATCATCTCACGGACTTCATCGGAGTCGAACCAACCAAAAAGAGGAAGAGACGGACGTCCTTCACACCTCAGGCTTTGGAATTGCTCAACGCTCATTTCGATAGAAATACTCATCCCAACGGTGAGAGAATTCATTAAATAAACAATACAAAATAAATAATAGACAATTAATTCTTCTACGCGCAATATCGAATAGCAATTTTGCAATCAAATTCTTTTTTTTTTTTTTTTTTTCTATATCATCACGAGAGTACGAAGTTTTAACTGTGAATAATTAATTAAGAAAAAACAAAAAGAAAAAGGAAAAAAAGTAAAGAAAAGAGAAATAATAAAAATTATTTCTCGTTATAATAAAATTTGATAAATAATTTGTTTTTATTTTTGTATCTTCTTAGGTACCGAGATTACAACGCTAGCACATCGTTTAGGATACGACAGAGAAGTGATTAGAATTTGGTTCTGCAATAAAAGACAATCGTTAAAGAATACAGCGAGAATGATGAAGGGGATCGAGTAAATCGACGTTGATCGATGATCATCTATGGAAATAATCAGCGAGAAAGATGAAGATGAAGAAGAAGAAGAAGAATAAGAAGAAAGAAGAGAAGAAGAAGAAGAAGAAGATGAAGATGAAGAAGAAGAAAATGAAGATGAAGAGATGAAGATGAAGAATCGCTTCGAGGATGTTGTTTCGATGTCTCTGAGAACGAAGCTAGTTTGAATTTCAAGGATCGTTAAAGCTTTTGCGAGAACAAATTTGCGCGGAAGGATTATAGAGGAATGAATTTATTATTCTTTACAAAAAGAAAAAAAAGAGATGATATCCCGATCGAGTGATCGATCCCTTCTAGACATTTTTATTCTCAAAAAGATAACGAAGTACTTTTATAATCGTTCAGTTTCGTTCATCGTGTCAATGATCGATAAAGTGTGATATTATTTAAAAAATTCTTTGAAGACTGTATACACATCGATCTTTACGATCTTCTTTAGGTCCATCTTTTCCACGAGGAACAAACGAAACACAAAATCGCAGCGTCATCTAATCGATCATGCCCATGAAACGATCGAAACTGAACGAAATGCGCAGCGAAAAGTGAAAGAAAACAAATAAAATAAATTAAAATAAAATAAAATAAAATAAAAAACTATAAGAGACTATAAGTCCCTCGGGGCAATGTGATCGCAGAGAGTATACGAAAGATCTAATCTGTAAATTAGCTTTTATAGTCCTGCTCGTGTGAACATTTTCGAAAGTTAAACAGAGAAATGAAGCGAAAGATATATTATTACTTTTCGTTTAATATTTTTCTTTTTTTTCCGTTTTTTCTTCTTCTTTTTTTTGTTAATAAAACAACTCGAAGGATCTACTTTTCCTTTTTTCTCGAATTCTCGTCTTAGAAAAGAGATCTTTATTACCAACCTATGATAATTCTCATTTAAATTATCATATGTTGGTAATACTCTGCGAATCGGTTAATTAAATCGTGTTACCAATCGAAATAAGATTATCTTCCTGGTTCTCGTCAAAATCGATTTCCCATAAAAAGAACTTGGAATAGGTTGTTGACATGTTCCATGGGGAAAATAAGAAACCGAGCACGACTTTTATATGTTTCGAATAAATTGTAAATAAAAAAGAAAAAAAAAAGAATAAAAGAGAGAGAGAGAGAGAGAGAGAGAGAGAACGCTGTACCAGAACTTAAGTTAGGGATTTAAAATCGTTAAATCGATTCGATTGAATATTTTAAAATATCCTAGAGGAGAAACAAAAAAGAAACAAAAAAAAATGAATAAAGATTAATAAATACGACTGTTATTATTACTTGACTAACCGGATGCAATAACGCTTTCTAAGATATTCAATCTTGATGAGAAACCAGGGAAGAGAATCCCGATCCCAATAACGAATTCAATCATTCATTGGTATACAAAAAGAGGAAAAAGTAAATACCTTCGATGTTCTCAATGTACCATACGAAAGGTTTTACATGGTTTTACATAGCGAATTAACTAATGCAATATAACGCGAAATATGCGATATACGTTGAAAGTATAAAAGACGCGTAAAAAAGAGAGAAAAAAAAAGAAAGAAAAAACGAAAAAGAAGAAGGAAGAAGAAATAAAGAAAATAATAGAGCGACCAAATGGACGTTTAACACACCTCGCTTCTCAAACTTGTGACATGTAAGGTTTAAAGATTTGCGCAAAATAAAAATGAAAAAAAAAGATACAATAAAACTAGTCCGCGATCGTTTCAAATTAAAATGATAATGAGATAACAAATCATTCAAACGCGATCTCGTTTCTCAAAAGCCACATACGAATACACGCGCGTTTACGCACACGCCCACACACATACACACACACACACACACACAAATTTTCTAATTTTTTATTTGTATATTGAAACGTGAATACGGAAACGAGACTGGTCATTGTTTATAAGAATAATTTTTCAATTTGTTTAAATTATAGCATTAATAATCCTTGCTTCGTGTACTTACCCCTCTAACTGGAACGAAGCGTTCGCAAGACATCATTCGCGTATGTATTATTAGAAACTGCAGGATTCTACACGCTCAAATTAAATATATGTCTCATACATACGTACGTATATAGTAATCGATGCAACTTCTTTCGAGATATCGTTTATTATTATTATAATCTCTCCCGAAAAAAAATATGAACATCATTATTAAATTTGTGTATCGAATTTTTAAATAAATATTAAAATATAATACGATATGTGAGGAGAGAGGGGAGAAAAAATGGGAACGAGATCGAAAGCTTTAAAAAAAAAAAAAAAATAAAGCAAAACTGATCGATGACGAACTTGACACAATTTTTCGCATTAAACGTGATAATTTAAATAGCGAAAAGCCATAATAAACTAATCATTCTTTCTTCTAATAATACGAGGAAGAGGGGGTTGGGAGAGGGGGAGGGTAAGGGGAAGTGTGACGATTTGAACGATTTCAAAGATTAATATCGTACGTTTGTGCGATGTACTTCGTAATCCTTTTCTTTTTTTCCCCTTTCGATAAAAGAAAAAGAAATACGACGAGAGAAACGGAAATGTGAAAAAGAAAAAAAAAAAGAAAAGAAAAAAAGGTAAAAATAGATAAAGGGAAAAACGTGAGATACCTTCCCTATAATAATGGACTATTTACTACCGATACTAATTATTCATCTAAATTACGTGAATAAAACTCTTTGAGGAGAGAATCGATCGAAGATAAATAAATAAATAAATAAATAAATAAATAAATAATAATAATAATAATAATAAACATTAGTTAGGTGCGCGATTTCAAGTGGTTTAGCCCCGTGTACATAATATATTAAGATTATCGATTATAAGCGTTGTAATATTTAAGAAATAAACTTTTAATAATTATCGTAGGCTATTAAATAGCTGAATTTTGTGCGAAGTTAATTGACATGGTTAAAGTATACTTCTAAAAACGCGACTAACTTAAACATAACACAACAAGAAGATAGAAGAAGAAAATAAGAATAAGAATAAAAATAAAAATAAGAAAGACAAGGGAAAAGAAATCGTCGAGGATGTATCCAGCGCAATGTGTTTCGAGAGACAGCAAAAAAGAAAAAAGGAAAAAAAGGAAAGGAAACAAAAACGACGACGAAGAAGAGGAAGAAGAAGAGGAAGAAGAAGGAGAAGAAGAAGAAAAAAAATATATAGGGAGATTATTATTAAGATCTTATATAATTATTAAGAGTGCCGACGAGCAAAGTAATCTGTTCCTAAAGAGTTGTATCATAAATTAAGAGGAGAGAGAGAGAGGAATGGCGAGCGGATGAAAAGTGTGTAAGGGGGTGAGGGGAGGGGGAGTCTGTATACGTGGATAGTTGGGGTGGGTCTAAAATGGTCGAAGTCGGGGTTATTAAATAAATTCAAAATTCAAAATTTTGATCGATTCTAAGTGGGATGGGTGGGGGGTGGGGGGGGGTTAGTTAAAAGGGATCGGGGGAGGGATAAACTGGGGAATCGTATGTTATCCTTTTTGATAAAAAATAAAAGAGACAAAAAAAAACAAAATGAAAAGAGAAACGTTTGTACAGAGATATTCCGGTTATTAAATTTTGTTACGCGTATTAAAGAGAGATAAAGAGAAAGATAGATAGAGAGAGAGAGAGAGAGAGAGAGAGAGAGAGAGAGAGAAAGAGAGAGAAAGAGAGATTGAGAAGGAGGGGATGGGAGAGAGAAAGAGAGAGAAATAAAAAAAAGGATTATTAATTAATCTGTTAGGCGAGCTGCGTGTGGTGTAGTAATGACGGGTTTGCGGGCATTGGGGATGGGAAATCGGAAGGACGCACGTCCGAGAGAAAAGGTATAACGAATTAGGAATCATGTGTATTTTCTTCGTGAAATCGATATTCAATAGATTATTGCGGAAATATAAAAAACGCGAGTATTAAGCAAAGTAAAAGAAAACAAAACAAAAAAAAAAAAAAAAAAATAAACCATGTGAAACTGTATCCGTGAGTGTCATATTCCTAAGGAAAAAAAATGAAATAATAATAACAAAAAAAAAAATCATAGATCCACGGGCGAATGTTTCATAGCAGTTTCCGAGTAGAAAACGAGCCAAAAAAAAAAAAGAAGAAGAAAAAAAAAAAGAAGAAAAAGAAACACACAAATGTAAAAATAAAATAAATATGTACCTAAAAGAGAGAAATAATATCACGAAATTTTCCTCGCTCTTTAAGCTAATATAAAAAAAAAGAAAAAAAAATTTTTCTACATTAACGCGCATTGTTCCGAAATATAATTATGAACATTTGTGATTTAGGCAATAAAAATAATAAAAATAATAAGAAAATTAGAATGAGAGAAAAAGAAAAACGAACAAACCAAAAAGGGAAAAAATCTTAAAAAGGATAATATAATTGCTGGATAAGATGGAAAAAGTTAGAGAAAAAAAAAGAAAGAATAAAAAAAAAAAGAAGAAATAAAATAAGGATATTAACGAAGTTGATCACGATCTTAAAAATTGTTCCTTTTCGTCGAAAAACTCGCATCGCTGTTATCTAATATCGAAGAGGAAACTGTCCCTGAAACATCGCCCAGAGAAACCAAAGTTCCTATTACGTTTTATAAAATAATAACAAAAAAAAAAAAGAAAAATAAACAACACACACACACACATACTATTAACTGTACTGCGAATTAAAAAAACTACACTTGATATGTATATACGAGAAACAGGCTAAGCTAGTTATTACGCGATACAATCAGCAATTACGTGGATTCGTTAAGGAACGAGAAGAGAAGAGAGAGAGGGTGAAGAAATGTGAAGGGTAAGATGTAAAAGAAGAAGAAGAAGAAGAAGGAATTGAGGGAAAGAACAAGAAAGACAGAATGAATTAGAGACAGAGAGAGAAAGGACAAAAATAATCACGGAATAAGTAAACGAGGTACACCATGCGAAAGATCGATAATCGAAATTTTACAGCTATGGGAACAAATTGTCGTAAAAATGTCGTAACGACACAGGAAAATAATAGATCGCGGGGGTAGGTGAATTGTGAGGGAAGGGTACAGAAACGAAGTAGAAGAAAATGATGAATAAGAAGAAAAAAAAATCATACACACAGAGAGAAAGAATAAGAGTAAGAATAAATATACGAGGAAAAAAGGGAAGGGGAAGAGGAATTATTAAAAATAATAGAATAGAAAGAGAGAAAAAAATAAGAAAAAAAAAAGAAGTAAAGAAGAAAACTAAATACCAGGATTTTTCCTAACGCGGGATCGTACGCTTTTCTTTATCAGCGGACGCGACGTGAGAGAGATAGATTTGTTTGATTTATTTCAATCAATCTCATTCGACGCGACGTCGTTTTCGCAAAATACGACGTTAGTAATCAGTCCGTTGACCCTCGATGCACAGTAAGAATAATAATAAATAAAAAAAAAAAAAAAAAACACACACAGTCGATGATTAAGCACACAAGAAGTATACAATTAAATTAAGCAAGCCGTAGCTTTAGCTTGAATGTTAGCAATTTAGACGAAAAACATAAAGAAAAAAAAAAAAAGATACATGACACACGGGACACACGTAACAACACGTACAGCAAACACGGACACACAATGTAACATTAAAAACTACGTATTTAAAAGGAAATCAGAAAAAAAAATCTTAGCCGTTAAGCGAATACCTGTGTAAAATCTAGTAGGTGTCCACAAGAATAAAATAAAAAACATATATTGTGGTACAAATTACATATGATTGTGTCTCTCTCTCTTTCATTGTTACCTTAGTTATTCAATCCATCATTCTTATTTTTTAATTTATCTTTCCATCATATACGAAACAATATATACATATATATATATATTTGTTAATTTGTTTTCTTTTTTCCTTTATTATTTCCCGCACGCAGAAAACTTATATAATTACCTTCGTAATTATACATTCGTTTGAACGCGAGTTTTTATCCTGATACTTCGTTATCAGCAACCAATTCGAAATCTGGCTTCTCGTTAATAACAATTGGTTTTGTTTTACCTATCCATTCGATAATAGAGTAACCTATTATACCGATGCAGAGAATAATCATCAAAATGTGAATCTTTGTATGCGTGCACAAGTAAGGACTGTATATGTAAGTTATCACAGATCCAGTGGATTCCCATAGTCGAAAGTTGGAATAAGCTGCCTCTTCTCTTCCAGGGAAGAGTAAACCATTTAAAGCTAAAAATAAACGAATCATTAGAATTTGATTTTACCATCTGTTGACAAAATAGGTATTTCAATTCCTTGTGTTAGTATGAAACGTTTCAAATTGGTTATCTATGATTGATAAAATTTAGAAAATTTGTAATATCTTACAGTTAACTTGCACCAACCAGATGGAGTCACAAATACCCCATAATCCAGAAATGATAAAGAAGAGCATCCCTTGATTAGGAGTCGGTTTCCAGGTCAACATAAAAATTAAAATTCCCATGTGCAGGCAAAAGGCAAAGATCATCACGGAAATTCTGCCGGTTAATTTTATAATGGAACCCGTAGTCAAAGCTGCAATAGCATTGGAAATTCCGAAGCATATCATAACGTATCCAATGTTACTGATCCCCCAAGCGCAAGACACGAAAGACTGAAAATAAGAGACAAAGTAAAATCGTGAAAAGCAGCAAAAATGATCCTGAAGTATACTTGACAACTCACTGCGTTATAATCGGCAAAGAGAAAAGCTTGCTCCGCTCCGATGAAAATGATTATGGGCAAAATTAAAAGCTGACTTTTTTCTTTCAACAAATTCAACGTAACCGCCAAGAGTTTTAATCCTGTTAATCCTGCACCTGAACCCTTTCTACCTCTGTCATATCTACAAAAGAAAGAAAAAAGAAACCAACGAAACGTGTAAAAAGAAAGAAGGCCAAAAAAAGAAAAAGAAAAAAAAGAGAAATACTTATTTCAAATAATTCAATGAAGTTTGAAGAAAGATCGATGACAAAGAAAAAAGTATAAATAAGAAAAAGTTGTTAGTTACGATCCAACAGTAATATCGTTGGTGTCTATTACCTAGACAATGAATCAACCCCAAAGACTATAACCAAAGAAGCCAATATCATAAGGGCAACATAAATTCCAGATATCAAGTGGATCCTGTCTATCGGTGGTTGCTCTAGATTTGGGTTGTCGTTGGTAGACGAAGATGCGACGCAAAAATTGGCCCCGCAAATCTCAGCAACAATAGTACTGTTCAATGCCATGTTCGTTGATATCATTTCATTCTTTCCGAAAGATAGAACTGTAATAAAGAAAATGAAAGGAAAATGAGAACAAAAATAAAATACGACGAGATCTATCTCTCGTCCTATTAATTGTCTTCCTTTTTTCGAAATTATTCTACCAGACATATAGAAATATTACGAAAATATTACGTTCGCGTAATAAAATAAAATGAAAGATAAATATACCGTTACAAATTGAAAATTTACGATTTAGGAAATCGATAATTAGATATGCGATATACAAAACGATTGCACGTTTCTTCAGACATGATTGCACTGTTAATCAAGGTTACCCTCTCACAACTTGATCATTAACGTAATTGCTAATGCGATTACGTGTACCTACTCCTTATATTACGTTTAAACGTGTTTTATTAGAGAAAGAGTTTACTCAGGAGAAAGGTTAAGAATTACGAGCGGTAAATGGAAACAATGTGAACAAGAAGAAGAAGAAGAAGAAGAGAAAAAAAGTTAAGCTCTTACAAGAAAAAAAAAATGAAAAAAACTACATACATTGCTAAAAAAATAAATAAATAAATATATTTACCTGCCGATGATATGAGATTGCCCCATACTTGTGCCATCTGATAAAACATAAAGAATAGACCAAAGAATCTAGTGACCAAAACATCGGATGCTAGATCAGATAGAGTAGCATAAGCTTCGGACACGACCGTAAGATAAGTGCACTTGGCGCACCAGAGTGGTCCACCACCAAGTCCGACCATCAGTCCTGCTGGGATCATCGTGTAAAATCTTGGATAAAATTGAGCTGCTATGAATGGCACGTAAGTTAGAATAGCTAGAGACATTGTCCACTTGCAACCGAGCCAACTGGAAAGATAAGTATACTACTGTTATCGCAAATAAATGTTGAGAAAGTACGGAAGTAAGGATAACGAGTTAAAGAAATGTAATCTCTGGTAATAAAGTTCATTTTTAAAAGGACAAATTTCCTTGTAATAAGAAAAAAAAAGAAAGAAAAAAGTGGAAAAAGGAAAAGGAAAAATCTGAGAGGAAAATTTTGACGACAATTCGATATCTCCTTAATTACCAGAAGATATATTCGAACGATAAAAAATTTTTCAAGAGCTCGTAAAAGGTCTCATTCTCGTGCTATTGTTCTTTCAAATAATTGAGATGGGAGAAAGGAAGAAAAGGGATAGAGAGAGAGAGAGAGAGAGAGAGAGAGAGAAAAGTTTGTGAAAGAGGTAAAAGAGAATAGTTAGAAAACGAACGAATATTATCTTTTATCTTGAACGAGCATGTCGGTTGGTTGATAGCTCACAGATGCTGATGCCACCGTAAGTTTCGTCAAGGAGAAGAAAGTTGATAGGCAAAGTTATGGAAGGTTTTATAGACGTGCCTTCGTTTAGCTCATCGAATACTAAAGTCGATCGTTTCGATCCTTCTTACGGTTCTTCTAAATCCACATAAAATCGTTTCTCGCAATAACAAGAGCTTTTATTTCTAAAATATCTTTCTACCCGAAAGATGATCGATATTTTAGAGAATTATCTTTTAAAATACGTGGCTATACAGTTTCGCCTGGCTTAGTGCCAACTACTATTTACGAAATAAAGGATAAGAGAATATGTGACAAGATTACGTACAATCTTCTTATCATTTTCTCACCTTATCACCAAGGCCGGAAGGAAGATGTTGCTAAATATTAAACTTCCGTAGATTGCTGCTAGGGTGAACGTGCCCAGAGATTCGCTGGAATTTATGGAACTTTGGAGATTCGTTGCACCCATAAAGGCAGTGAAATTCATCATAAATGCAATTCCTATTAGTAATATGTTTTTTATAATACGCCATCTTTCCGTTGGCTTGAAACTGGCTCGTTCGGTTTGCACTTTGACGAATTGTCCGCTGTTGATGGTATGGTTCTTCTCCGTCGTCATGATAATTAAATTGTTTTTAATTATACAATTTTTTCTATGAGTACATCAAAATCCTTTTAATAAATTCATTTCATTTATATAAACTCCGTTGTTTATATATCACACGAGGAAGTTTATCCACATTCCGAATAACAAATATTTTTTTATCATGAAATGCAAATAGAAATCATCCTGTTAGTTTTTCTGTCTAAACAACAATTTTGAACATCGTTAGTATGTAATTAAGTAATTACTATGCTTACTGATATAATTAAATTACCAACTAATTATTGAGAAACCAAATATTTTTCCGCAATTAAATACACGAACGAGCAAATATCACGAAACATTTGTATTCAAAGGTATTCCTTTCTAATCATAAAGTGTGCAATAATTAGGCAATATCTCACAATCAGAGTTTAATCTGAGGTAAAAGCAGATATGTGTGAAATCATACTTCTACACGTATAATATATATTATATACACGTATATCGCGGTATATACCCATACACACGCTCACACACATACACACCCTACTACTACTGACGAAATTGATACTTCAGTGTATCCAATAACGAGAGGCATTATCGTATTTGCGTCGGAAATCTCTCGTGAATTATAATTCCTATCGTTATGAACGAGATGGAGAGATACGTTTAGAAGGAATAGACCATGCTCAATAGTCATTTCATTCATGATAATAATAATAAGAAACGGTAGGAATAGAGATACGACAAAAATAATATTCTTTGTTGGAAATTAATTTTATCATTGATATTAATTTCAATTTGATAATAACTTACATCCGTAAACGTTAACTTCAAGATTCTGTACTATTTCATCCGATTTTAAAAAAATTTTTTTTCCTTCATTTTTATAATATTTTTAATTCTTGAATACAAATATTAAGTTATTTGGAAAACATTTAGAACTATCGAATTCATTTAGACAGAACCGATATCCATATTTCTAACGAAAACGAATGAAAAATAATATTTATCTTCAATTAATTTTCAAATTATCTCGAAAACTTATAAACGCTCTTCGTAATATCATTTCGATTGCACCTATGGAATATCGGATTTCAACGAGTAGTATCGAACGTTGTTGAAAACTTGTTCCTGATCGTTATCGGTAACTGTTTTGTCCTTGAGAACTGGCATGTGTGAATACTTGGGCTGTATAACTGAATAAATAAACAACTCCTTTCTATTTGGCACAAAACATACTAGATTGTCGTTGTTATTTTTTTTTTTTTTTTAACTAATCTTTGATATAAAAAATTAGATCACATTTCGAATTTATCGATCCAAAACTTACTGTCAACATTTATTTTTAAACGAAAAATTACAAAGATCGATTTAAATAACCCAAAAAAAAAATGTAAAATTTCCTTAAAAAAGTTAACGAAATAAATGCAATGCGAAAGCTTGGAAAAGTAACGCCTAATGATGGAAAGTGATTTCATACGTTACTCGTCGTGATCGAGATTAGCTTTTAAATGAAACACCGAATCGCAATTAACAAATTTCATTAATACGTACGTGTACGTACGTGTATATAAATTAATTATGCAAACGTATGTACGGTATCACGAAATACGTATATATATATATACTACTCTAATGAATGAAAGATGAAATAGTGTCAAGATCGATAACAGAAGTTAGTTTATTTAATAAATAAGTATATCGAAGGAATATTAATCATTTTGGAATAATCATCTGACGAAATAATGATTAAATGTTAATACAGGCAATTATAAATAAATTTTGTTATAAATAACGAAGTGCTTTGACATTAGCATAACGAGATATTGAGAAAGAGGAAAATGTCGACGTCATGTCACTTCTTTCGACTAATTCGTATAAATAAAAATTCATATTTTTTTTTCTTTTTTACAGAATGCATTGCTACATTTATGTTCATTGTAATTTTTCTCGTGGACAATAAATTTTCTTTAACAGCACCTGTGTTAATTCCAATCGATTCCAAATCGATTCTTACAAGAACATCGAGACGATTATTCTAAACGTATTCAATAATTTAACGTAACTTTAACACTCACGTTTACTCTTTGATAAATATTATATTCAATATAACAACAAAGAGATAATAATAGAGAAAATAAAAAAAGGAATCTATATTATAAACAATATAAATTATACTTACGATGTAAAATTACGGTGTTGATAGACGATTAAAAAAAAATGATGATCCATAAATAAAATCCTGACGATTGAACGTGTTCATTCCGATTTTTCCATTAGTATGCTTCACACTTATTTCTTATAATATATTATGTCTGTTGTTTTTCCGTCGTTTGTTCTCTTAGTTTACTTTGGCACGTTTTATACTTGGTGGTTTGGTTACACACACGGTGGACACGATTGAAAATGATACTGAACCGATCGGGAAGGCGAAAGGCGATGATCGTTGCGAACGTTATTGTCCCCACCAGAATCCGCGTCCTCACCTTTAACGATAATACTTAACCGCTTTAGTTTTACCAACAGACGATGATTATTTCATCTGATTGCCGACTCCTACGCATTATTTTCCTCCTATCGTTCTCTTCGACCAGTTAATCAAATATTCACATTATTTTTTTGCCTTTCATATCGATGATCGAAAGAAATATATACAGAGTCGAGTTTTATTTATCAACATAAAACGCATAATCGATAAAAGTTAGTTTAACGTGTCTTATTATTAAATTACTATTTTGTTCAAATGGGGTAAACTAATTTATTGAATAAAAAAGAAAATAAAACTAAACTATTTTCGTTAGTTCAAATTTGTTTTTACATTCCACAAAATAATTATATAAATAAAAAGTTGAAGTGAAACAATTTCAATGGAAAGAATTTGTTAATCGAAATTTATTTTACTCTTTCTACAAAATAATTCCAGAAATATATAAAAAGTATTTAAGTGAAAATATTTTAATTGAAAAAGAATCGCGAAAAAAGTTCGAACGAACGCTTAGATCGCCTGGGATGCGCGGCTTGAATTTACTTTTTTCTTATTTTCCAATGAGCCGAAATCCGTAAATGCACGAGAGAAAATACTGTATTTCGAAACAATGACACAATTACTCGCTTTAATTAGACTTCCGAAGGTTCCGTTGTGCGTGATTCACGAAGCGATTATCTTCTGAAGTACAAAAACACGTAATCAGAGATTTATATTTAATATTTTAAAGAAACTTAGCGCGCACGTGAAAACCTGATTTACTTACATATTTATTTTTCCTTATGTTTCTGCATTTCGATTAAAAAATATTAAAAATATGGAATAATCTACATGTAAAAGCTCGGACAACGAGCTTTCGTGATATTTTTCACACGAATGTTTTATATTATTAATTAAATATGAGAACTCTCATTGTCTTAATTTGTCCGAATATCTATAGATTTAACATATATATATATAAAGTAACAATTAATTAATTAATTTTTTATATGCCTCTCACTTCTGTTTAGATAATTGTTGGTAATACCGAAGCTAGTGAACACGATTGCATAATTTTCATTCGCCGATACGTTTTTCATTAATGAAATCGCAAAGGATTAACGCGTTGTTCGTTTAAAGAGATCGACTATTCATAGTAGTTTATGGTGATCATCCAGATAAATATCGTTGACATGATTTTCTATTTTTGTTAGATATTAACCATAATCAATCGATTTTATATAATACTTTACCGAAATTATATTATTTTTCTTTAATTTTCTCTAAGATACCTGAGAATTATTCAAGTTTCAATATTATATTACATTATTATCATATCTATCGAATATTTCAAAGTCGAGATGATCAAATACTTTGATAAATGGTTTGAAAAATTAGCTTTCTAGCAAATATTTTCTTCGATTTTAAAAGCACAATTCTGTTTTACCTTTGGTTACTTTTATAATGGTTAGCATAAATCATACGATTTTTCTCTGCTTCTTCTTTTTCTTCCTCTATATTTTTCTTTATTCCTATCTCTCTGTACGCGTATATACCGAGGTACTTACGGAATACTGTCGGTATTTGTAATAAATCTCACGATGCTTTGTTATCGTCTATGATTTCAATTCCGTAGCTTTCCGTTACGTGTTTTCCTCAAAATGCATTTAAATCTTCTCGATAATATATTCCAAAAGAAGAGACTTATTTCCTTATTGTTTCTTGGTTTTTAATAATCAAATTTAGGATGTCGAACGATACGATAAAAATATTTAACAATTTAATTACATATCTCATTCTTTATATTTTTTTACAAATTAATTTATAAAAATATAATTTTCTATAAATAATAATTACAAATTAATGAATTGGAGCCACTGAAAAGGAAGCAAATACGAATAGAGAAGTTTATATATCATTTATTCGAATTTTTTACAAATTGCATTTATTTACCTTTGGTCAAAAGTAGATATTTGCGAGATAATTTAACTTCTTTTAATTGAATCAACATTCGGACGAATATTTATCGTTACTCGTTGGAGTTTGAAAGAGTAACTCGTTACAAAATTAAACTCGTATGCAAATACCTATTACCAAAGTTACTTTAACAAAAAAAAAAACAAAAAAAAAACAAAATATCTAAGATAACGATATAAATTATATACGTAGGTTAAATGATAAAATAAAATTGTGTAATATATAAAAATAAGACATATGAAATATTTTTCAATTTGGTCTATAATTTTTTTTTTTGTCTATCTCTTACGAAAAATATTTTACCACAAAATCGTAAGAATTTGTAAAAATGTAAGACGATGAAAAAGGAGCTTTACTTGTTGCTGCCATCGTGCTCTCCTTCTTTTCATGCATGAATATATTCGCGAAAAATATTTCTCCTCCCTCGAGATAAAGTTGAGCAAAGGAGTAAGAGAAACGAAGAAGTCACAAAATGCATCCTTTCGCTTTCTCCATTTTTTGTTTTTTTTTTCTCTTTTTTCTTTTCTTTCTATTTTTTGTTTCTTTCTTCTATACTTATATTCTCTTTCGCCCCTTTCTTTCCACCTTCTTTCATGTTCACGAATCCGCGCTTGGGTAAGCTTTGCAAGGAGAACGTACGAATAAAGAGCTTCACGTTTCTAGATGCAGTCAGCATTTGGAGAATACTTTTTCTTACTATGAACATATATAGTTTGGTACATGTTAAATTGGATTCTATTTTTCTTCGGAAGACATTTTTCCTTATCTTCGAATATATTAATCTTATAATCTAATTGTAAATTTTTTCCAATATTTTATATAACTTTTGTCAAATAATTTCAATTCGGCATGCACATTAGCATGAATATATCCCTACATGTAAATTAGCTTTTACGTTATGGGATTTTGTATGAAAAACTCGTATATGGGTCGTTAATATAAAGAAAGGGGTTAAATGAAATAAAAACTGTTAAAATAAAGTGAAATTAAAACTGTGTTACCGGTTAGAAATTTATTTGTTCAAATAATTCAATTAAAATATGTAAGTTCTTTTGTTTTTTTTTCTACTTTTCCTTCGTTTTATTTTATTTTCAATAAAACATACACGATTTATACGAGTCGTCTAATAGTAAAAGTTTTCTTCCTTTTTTTTTTATATATATAATATATAAGACGTTAAATAATAATACAGTTATACCGTAATAGTTATATCCGTGTTTACACTTGGCTTAGTAACAACTCATATCAATGTATCACGTTAGCAAAAATTACTTATAAAAATACTTATACTAGCTGAGAAAATTGATTGTATATTTCTTTATGAATAAAAATGAAAACAGAAATGTGTATAACGCGCAAACGCGTATCTATATGATTTAGGAGGAAAAAAAAAAAAGGAATTATAATATTAATTACGTAAAAATCATATTCTTCTTTCGATTAGAGATGAAACATTTTCCTATTATAGGTTAAATGTATATAACGTATAAAAAAACAATGTATTATAAGTTAGAAAAGTGCTTATCCGCTCGTTTCATCGTCACGTACCTTAACGTCGTCGAAGCTAAGATCATTAATAAAAAGTCGAGCCATTTACTTACACAGAACTGATAACGAGCGAAATAATAGCTCATCATAAAGCGACATAGTCGATGAACTTTATTGCCATATGTCCAGCATTTATTATTGGCTATTGTATTTCCCCTCCCCTACCACCCGCCCACCCTCCCGACAGATGTCTTCTATAACTTACCTAAGATATTATCGTTTGAAATGGTTTGCGAGATTCAACAAACCAACCAACCTAGTAAATTTATCTGTCTTCCTTTTTTTTCCTCACGATATCATAGAACGAGAATAAAAAGAAAGATGAAAATAATCCGCGTAGATAATCTTTTTAAACAATAGATAGGTATTTAGTTAGCCCGATAAATGTTTTCTTTTTCCTTTATTTTTTCTCTTTGTACATTATTGCATTTGACAAACATTTAAACGAGTAAATAAAATTCGTAGCTTATCTCTCATTTTTGTTTTTGTTTCTGTTTTTTCTTTCTATTCCACTTTTATACGTTTTTGATTGTTTGTAAAATAAAAAAATAAAACAAAAAAAATACAATCGATAGATATACTCGAAATGTCAAAGGAGTAACGGTTAAAATATTTATTCGATATATTTTCTATAAGAAATAAGAAGAGTGGAGGAGATAGAAATACAAAATATCCGAAAATTTACAAACTGAAGAGCGCATTATCGATTTAAATTCCGTACGTCTTTCGAATTGTTAAAAATTCACTAAAAAGAAAAGTAAAAATTCTCTCGGTGGGATAAAGTTTGCTAGAAAACGATCGAACTCGAACGAGATATGTGAAATACAAACTTTGCTGTCTTTATATGATACCAAATAAATAAACAAAAATAAAAGAATAAAAATCGATATAACATAGAGAGTCCTAGCTCGAAATAAAGAAATAAAGAAAGAAAGAAGTAAACCGAAAGGAGAAACTAACAATAAGAGTAAACAATAGAAAAATTTCATAGAGAGAATAAATTTATAGTCCTGAGATCGTGCAATACGAAAAGAAAAAAGTTCTATCTACAAAAGCGAATAAAAAGTAACACTGAATTCGATTTATTTATCCACTTTGAAAGCAATTTCAAATTATTCACATAAGTTTTTTCTAGTCGAAAAATCGACAAGTGCCATTTTAAAGAGCACACTTCCCGTATGATTCTAAGTGCACAATACTGTTCTTTACTTTCTTTCATTTGTTTTTACTTATTCCTTTTAATGGGAAGCTTCAAGCTGTGACAGTTTGAAAATGCTAGGGGATTTAGTGAAAAATTTGCGATCTTTTTTTCGGTTTGGTATAAAAAACAGAAACGTTAGAAAATCAAGATAAAACAAAGCTGAAAATGTTTTCAAATTGTTCTATTATTAAAAAACATTAAAACTAATTGAATGTAAATCGATAATATTAGAAGAGATCA